AAACCAGTATTTGCTCACCAAATATTGGTACTGCTTAACCGCCTATGAAAATGTCACCGAATATATAAGTGTGCGCATTGTGTGTGGGTATTTAAGTAGTTGATATGCATGCTTAATGTTGATTCATTGATTTCACATGTTTCGGAAGGAGCCTGGGCCAACTCGGAGGGGAACAATCCCCCAGTGACCTGCACCCCTTACCACATTACATTACCCCCATCCCCTCTTCCGTAGTGCACAGGTGTCACGTGACTTGAAACTTTTTGAGAGTTGCGCACAGGATATAACGCTACCCAGAGTCCATGATTTATGGCAAAATAATGCCATGTATGACTCCTTTTTAAAACAAATTCCGGGTAAAAACATGAGAAGTATAGAACAATGATATTAATATCAACATATCTACAACTTAAGTTACATTACAATGGGCCAGAAAGGTGATAACTAATAACATTGATAAATTACTTCTCCTGCTGACATGGGCCTATAATATATTTAGATATAGATAGGTGGTACAAAATGTGCACCCCCCCCCCCCCCCCGTCATGATAGGAACTTATGAAGACCAAGCGGATCTTAGTTAGAATGTGCAAAATAATAGAATCAATGCATGCCTTTAAAATGATTTGCCCTAAAAGGAATAAAAGTTTAGTTTCGGGGGGGGGGGGCTTTCATTCGATCTGCAATTTTAGAAAAATCCTGTCATTCATCACTGACAATAATATTGAAACCAAACCGACTGATATTTTAAGAAACGGTAAAAAGTAATATTTCTACTTTCATGACTAAACATTTCAGACCCCCCCCCCTTCCCTCCATTTCCTCCCTTCCTTCCCTTCCCCCCTTCCCTCCCCTCTTTAACTGCGAACAATTTCAAAATATTTCATAAAGACATAATATCAACACACAGCCGTTTCACCCTTTTTTTTAAATGACGCACTATTGTTGCCAGAAAATTCCACTTACATGTACACGATTTAGGCACGATTTCTGCATCATGTTTTTGTTTGTTTTTCTTTCCTTTTTTCTTCCCTCCTCTTTGTTTTTGTTTTAACTCTAAAGCCCCCGTCTTACTAATGTTCCTGAATTGCTCACTGCAACAACATTGAACGAATCCGACTACTTCCGCAACTAACCAATAAAGATTTAACAGATACATGAATCTAGTGACGAAGCATGGAGTTACTCGCTAGAAGTCATGTGCACTTTTCTCCCTCATGTTTAAAATCAAGCAAGGTAACAAAGTCGCATTAAAATTTAAATAGTATTATTATAATACTATTTAAATTTTGATATAATCTTATCCAATACAATTTTTGATATCGTTTTTTCTCATCTAGTTTGAATATATCAAGTATTATAAAAGACAACTATGTAACAATAAAATATAAACAGTTAGTTCTCGAAATGATTGGCTCCTTGGGACAACTAAAATGTGTTTAAGTCAAGGTTTTATTTTAGTCAAAATCTAGCCCCAATTTGTTTGATTCTATGTCATTCTAGTTCACTGGTTGTTTTGATTTAGTATAAAGGCGAGCTGTATAATCAGTCATCCCTGGCAGAGTTTTAATCTTGTATTTTACTTTTTAGTAAAATAAAATGTATTCATTTTGTTATAGAAGTCGTGACTGTGTAAACAATACATTGTAGCTCGTCCGATTAGTCTTCAAAGTTCCCGATAGTCCCATTGGTATACATTTGTGTGTTTTATTTTTTAGTTATTAGTAAGTTTATGTAATCCTGTAATGAATTGTTGCAGGTCCAATCACCTTGTTAAAAAAGAAAGATATTTACTGCCTTTTCTCAGCGATGATACAAATAACTTCTAAGAAATTCCGTACAGAATGTAATCTCTTTTCAAGTAGGCCTATATTCCGAATTTGTTTCCTTTTAATATATTTTGGGTGCGGTAAAAATCCTTCAATTTTATTCTGTGTTCACTCTGGCAATAGTTTGGATAAGAGAATTAAGCTTACTTCTTGGTTGACTCATGAATAAGATCTTAGAAACGGTTTTTGGGATAATTAATTTAACGTGTGATTGTGAGGGGCCTTGGTGTGCAAGTGTTAAAAAGACGGCCGCCATAATCAATGATTTACAGGCATTAGTGTGTGATTGCTTTGAAAAATGTTAGTCTAACAATCAAAGCTCTGTTTAATCACACCGGTTGTTCAATGGCGGTGGCGTAGCGGGGGAATTGGAATGGGGGGGGGGGAGGGCAAGGGGGTATTTATGATTCTGTAGGTCTCAAGGGGCCACAATGATTTGTTTTTATAATTACAAATCAATGTCAGTTTTGTGCAGTCAAGGTATGCAATTGTCTCTCAAAAGGGGATGGATTACGGAACGTCTGTGGTGCCCCCCCCCCTTAACCAGCCACTGTTGAGGGCCCTGGTCTCACTTGCGAAAAATGCGAGAGAGTGCACGGAGCAACTCCATCAAACCCCTTTATTCACAGTGTCCTTTCTTTTCTTTTCTTTTCTTTTTTAATAATGTAAATCGCTTTTCCACAATCTTTTTCATCATTATACTTTGAATATAAAAAATCAAAGAATTTATACAATCATTCTATACTGAATGTCTAGACTCCTGCATAATGTCGGTATCATAGAATTTCTTTTAGCCACGCAATCACAAATCAAACAAGATTGCAATTTTTCACATTTATATCTTTTTAAAATGTTATGCCTGTTAAGCTTATAGATTATTACTCTTGCAGAAAATTACAAACCAAATAAGGAACAAGATTTGTACACGAATATCCTTTTGATTTCATGTTTGTTAGTCTTATGCATAATATAAACATTCTATTTGTTTTCGTTAGCCATGTAGAAAATTACAAAACAAATGAAAAGATTAAATCAATAACGCTTATAACTCTGTCGATTTGTATTTATGACATAACTGGGTCGCGGTTCATTGTTTTTTATCTGTTCACACGACGTGAAAGGAAAAGAAATAAATTATTTATTTTCACTGTCACTAGTGTTGGGAGCCCCAAATCCGCTTAAAAAATTGATGGCAACATTTCACTTAAATTGTGTAATGATATGAAAGAGAATGTCATATAACACTCAACTCCGCAAGAATTTTCAAAACACATGTGTTTGAAGACGAATATTGATGAAAGAATACAAAACTTGGGTCTTGTGTTGTACGCAGAAACCCTACATGTTGTATTCTTTCATCAATATTCGCCTTCAAACACAATTATTCTAAAAAAATACTTTCAGAAGTCAATATTAAATGACATCCTCTTTCACTTCATTAAGCAATTCAAATGAATGTTTACCATGAATTCCTTTGGGCTCCCAACTCTTTAGATGGCCTCATTTAACCTTATTGCGATCAAAACAGGTCTGGAGGTTCTAAAACTTACAAGTCCTTTCCCAAAGTCCATGTTTACCTGATTATTGTCGGAGAATAATGACCAATTTATCATATTAAATATGAACAACACTCGACACCACCTATTTGCGGTTGGGGACACAATGTCGCGACCGAGATTTCTTTAGTCCTACTTGAAATTCCTCAACATCGTTTATTCTTAGCTAATGAAGGATGATTCATTCCAAAGTGTTATGCACAGTAATATCTTTTGGATTGGAATATAACTTTAATAGGAAGCAAAACACATCGTGAAATAGACATCTTTCTCGATTGAAAGTTATGTATAATTTTGCCATTCATGGTTAAACATGATCGCAAAGGCTTTCGACAAAAATCAACCTTATATGGCAATTCCAATAACCTTGTCCATCAACATTGATTTATATGGAAAATACAAGAGGGTATTAATAATGCCCTTAAGATGATCATGTTTATTTTTCGAAAGTCTACTAATATGCCATCGCGTTGACTCGAAGTTCTGTTTTCTTAAGTAGAATTTTTCTTTCAAGACATTAAATGATCCCGTTCCTTGTGATTTTAGTCTGAAGATATACTAACAATACCCTGACACCTTGTATTGGTGGAATTATTTTTTTTTTCAAGTGGAAGACTGGGATTCGAACCCCGGTCGGCTTACGGAAGGCCGGAAAACCACTGGTCCAACTCATATCCCCTTACTCACACGATGATGCATTAAGATGGTTCCAAAATCCATATATATTCATTTTGTGGTATAACATTAGTAATTTTGGTGGATGACTGCATCGAGTGGAATATTTTCAACCAGAGGAATGCGATACTTCGAGGAAGGAAGCGACTATGGGGGATGTTGGGACATTCAGGGGTGAAGTGAGAGGGGCAAACAGTCCCTGCTCCCTCCCCCTTTAAGGGATCCGGAAACTTTGTCTCAGATTCTGAAACAAAAATCCTGGATTTAACTCATGCTGCAATAATAGTTATAAAACCTCTAAGTCAGTCAGGAACCCCATGATTTATGATTGGAAATCGAAACCAAATTTTACGTTTTCCTAACCGTTTTCATAACACTACAGTCTACTGGGGAAGGTAAGGTAAGGTAAAACCGGTCACTCAAAGATATTTACTTTTTTTAGGCACTTCTTGATCATTTTGAAGCGCAATTTTTTTAGGTCTTTAATATTACACCATATCACAGACACTGATATCACGTAGGCCGTGCATCTCAGATTTAACATTGTTAAACGATGCCTTTAATCTCAATGTGGCATATACCTTTACTACACAATAGGGAAGAAATGTACCCTCTTCAAAATCTAGACCCCAAATAGGGCACCTTAAAAGTTGATAACCATTCTTTACTCGGGGATGGGAATCATGCCGCCCCCTCCCTTTCTTTACAAAAGCCTGAATCCACCCCGGTGAGGACGTACATGACTATTGCGGGGGATGGGTTAAAAGTTTGACATAACTGTGTCGTTGCAGCTTCATGGACCATTTGGAAGGACAACACTGCCAACGAAAATATTTTGAATGTGGGTGTTAGGAAATCGATTCTCCTAATGCCTCCTCAGTCACACTGAACAACCGACTCAAATCCGTCTCCATTATAGCGGTCAATGTTTTGTTATATCGGTGTAATTCACTTTTCGTTCTGTCTTTCGTTGGTTTGGTATCGGTCGCGATTGTGTGCCCGGGGTATTTAAAACGTGGGGAGACGGATTCCATTCAGTGTACATTCATAATCTAGTATCATTGTGCTATACGTGAATCGCTCTTCAGTCAAACGGATATTTATTGGCAGTATCTAGTATTTTCTTTTCAATTTCAAAAGAATTGCTGCACGTAGAGGTTCGGTGGGAATGTTATCCACAGTTGACTTGTTGTGAGTGTTACTTTCAAGTGGAATTGTCAATATTTTGGATTGTCAACATTTTGGATTGTCTAGGTAAGAGATACAATTCATCGTCTGCTTCTGTTCGCAAATTCAATTTTAATTATTAGCGTGGCCTATGGGGCACGGGACATTTGCCGTCTCCATTTTGTGTTTTAACTGTCTAAATTATCTTTTGTAGGCGAAAGTTATCTTTCCTGCACTAATCAACTTTATTAAAGTCAGCATATTTTTCTTGGTTCCCATCCCGTTAAAATATTGGCAATGTATTCAATGATTTCTCGATAGTTCTTAAATATTGAACTTTAAAAAAAAAATGTGGAGATTCGGTAAACGGAGAAACAAATCGTATGTTTTGTTCTATCCTGACGGAGGTAAGCAACGTTTCGTCTGCAAGCAAGTATTTCGATATTTAACATAACATTTCCTTAAAATAGCTGCAAAGTAGTTTCTTAGACTAACGATGCGAAGCAGAGAGAAAGAAAAGGAGGAAGGGTAGAAAGGTGATAAGAGGACAAGGGGAGGGATAGAAAAAGTATAAGGAAGGACAAAAAGAGGGAGAGGAGGGATGTGACAGGGAACAAGTATATGAGTGGGATTCGAATAAGAGAGAAAGAGATGCACGGGGGCAGCCATTTTTATTTTTTCTTCCTATCCCATGACAATAAGTTTCAATAAGCGAACCTACTACAAGTCATGTGCGTTATCGGAATAAGTGACATAACGTGTAGCAAATATTCAGAAGGAAAAGAGAGTGGGAGAGATAGGAGAAAGGTGACTGCTCGGGCGTATAAACCTTCAAAAGGCACCCTTCCACTTACCTTTTCTCCTAATGGAATCACTGGAAACCCCCTTTCATCCCATTAAGCTTCTGAGAAAGACTAACGTCGTTAACATGTCTTAAGAGTCCCACTCCTAAAAGGGGGCATTACCGCACCCCCTTTGTCCCGATACCAGTCCGTTGTTGCCCCCCATCACCGCGTGAACTTAACACTCTTTCCAATCAATATGTTTGTATTTGTACTTGACTTGTCTATCACTTGGGACCTCCTACCGTCACACCGGTGTCGTACCAATACTTTCACTCATTCATTCGTCCATTCCTTCAGTCATTCGTTTATCTATTCATTCTATCTTTCGTGTATTCATTCCTTATAGTTCATAAAGTCATTCAATGTTTTTTCTCCCATGGTTTGAAACTCCATATTGGTCCAGCATAAAGGGAATAACTGTTATGATAAGTACATACATGTAAAATACGCAGACCTATCTTAAAATATGTTCCTCGTTGTTCTCTTTAAGTTTAACTAGAAGCCATGACAAAGTGGAATATTTTTAGGTTGATGGCAGACTTTGAATAATATCTTTAACATGTTTTAAATAACCGGGTGTATTAGTTGTGAATTATTTCTTTATGAGGTTATTGGATAAATATCTATTTCCAGTATCATAAAGATGCTACGAACCTTTCGATTTTGCCCTGTGTGCGTGTTTCTTTGTATATATATTGTTGTTCACTTTACGGCCTGTTGTAGATATTATCTCGTTTATTTTTTGAAGTTGAACACCGGATTTGATATTGGATAAAGCTTGGATACACTCCATTACACTAACAGGAACGGTGTCGTATCAATGCATTCATTTCTTCGTTCGTTTATGTATTCTTTGCAATACTGTTGGTATAACTGTATTTCAGTGCATTTATGCATTTTAGCTTGACCTTAAAGGCTTTGCTTGGCCCACCAAGAGGAAAAAAAACAAACTTGTCCACTACTTTGCATGCTTGGTTAAAACACTGGCAGGTGAGCAAGTTATTCCCCCATAGTACACAACTCCTCTCATGTATGATTGACCCTTCTCTACCAATTGTTTCTAATTGTTTGATATTCTTTTAAAGCCCCACTGTCCTACTTGTAGCTACTTGCTTCCTCTATATATAAAACTTCCCCAATCGGTGCCTGTTGGTCCCCCATGATCCTCTTTTTCTTATGTTAGTTGAGAGCTGAGTTGATGAGATAGCCGCCTGTCAGTGACCTGGCTGGGTGGTCTATTCCCTTCTGGCCCAGTAGTACTGACGGTCTTTAACAAGCCACTAATGTATTAAGGTAGAGTTAGTGAGTATTCGGTAGGACAACAATATTTATCGAATGTTATAGCGCCTTATCGCATTACTGTAGCTCTGCTAACGCCAATGTAATGGCAGTATTCAGCCATTCATATCATAATGAAAAGGCATTTATGAATCCAACGACAGTACCTTTATCATTCGATTTATTCCCGAAGGTATTTCACTACTTTTGTAAAATTCCCCAGTACTATTCATTATTGTTGTATCTTTGAAAGGAAAATCAATATCTGGAATCAGATGTCAAGTCCCCGTAAACATATTTTTCACTTCAGGTTTGAGTGTGACAAATACCTTTTTTTTTTATATAGTAGTAGTACTGTAGTAATGAAATCGTACCAGCATTTCTGACAAACCATTATTATTGCTTAAGTCATAAATAAATGTCCTCTTTGTTACTATTATCGTTATACAAATGGTTTATTGGAGCAGTCATGAATGGAAGTTATTTCCATTATTAACCATGATGACATGTGTCATAGAAATCAGTGGAATGTTTTTGTTCTGTGCCGAGTCATTTTTTGTGGGCCATGCTTGGGTTGTTATATATGATTACGACTGTAGCAAAAAGATCTGCCAAAGGGGGGGGGGGGGGATTATAATGGGTTGAATAATATATTGCATCACGTTGTTTAGTTCGCTATGTTTGGATCTGATGCAATGGCGTAGCTAGGGTCCAGCCCTTGAGGGAGGGATGGGGGAGAGGGGGGGGGGGGGGGCTGACGTCGTTTTGGGGGCCAAAAATATTAGGTGGATGAAATGCGAGAAAACAAGACCTTTTTGTGATTTGGAGGTGTGGGAAGGGATCGCATCACATCACTCTTATCACATCGCAGTTCCCCTCTTCCTATACGATCGCATAGACTTTCAAGAAATCAGTAATTCCAATACTCTATAGTATATATTCCATAGAAAACACGTTCAGATTACGTAACCAGCCATTGTAATGTTAGCACATTTACTGTAAGTACATTTACTGTAAGTACGATGGACTAATCTTTTGAAATTGCCTTTAATAGGTTGATTTTTCGAAAAGAAAAAAGTATTTTCTTTTCTTTTCTCTTTCTTTGTTGCCATTCGGTTGGGTACATGTGCCCCTGTGTACCCGGTAGCAATGCCACTGGTGTGATTAATATCATTTAAGGTTCCCTGGAGCAATAAAGTCCCTTTGTTGGGGAATCCTTCAAATTTTCCAGAGGCCATTTCGGTTCAGTTTGATTCGGAACTTTAAGAACTTCGTCAACCGTGAAACTACACATTGTCGTAATGATTCGTTCGTTCGTGTCTCCTTAGAACAATATTAATGTATCTTGATCTTCGGAGTAGTTGTTACAACCGGCCGTGTCAGACACGTTGCCCCGGGGTGCAAAACAATTATACAATTACAATTAACATTACATTCAATTAAAAGTATGAAACTATTACTCTCATGTTACGTGAAAAAATAGTATATATATGAATCAATTGATTTGGTCGATCCAGTACTAAAAGAATCTAACTGGAATGCACTTCGAATGCCGTCGGAATCTTTAGATTGCCGCTCGAATGCGGCTCGAATGCGGCTCGAATGCAGTTGGAACGCAGTTGGAACGTCCCGAATGCACTTCGAATGCCGTCGGAATCTTTAGATTGCCGCTCGAATGCAGCTCGAATGCAGTTGGAACGTCCCGAATGCGCTTCGAATGCCGTCGGAATCTTTAGATTGCCGCTCGAATGCAGTTTGAACGTCCCGAATGCACTTCGAATACCGTCAGAATCTTTAGATTGCCGCTCGAATGCGGCTCGAATGCAGTTTGAACTTCCCGACCAGGATGTAAAAAATGCATCTCGATTGCCGCCGGAATCTATTTCGATATTTTCGGTACTGAAAGAATCCAAGTGGAATGCACTTCGAATGCCTTCGGAATGTTTAGATTGCAGCTCGAATGCGGCTCGAATGCGGCTCGAATGCAATAAGAACGTCCCGAATGAACCTCGAATGCGCTTCGAATGCCGTCGGAATCTTTAGATTGCCGCTCGAATGCAGTAGGAACGTCCCGACCAGAATGCAAGGATGTCCCGAATGCAAAAAAAAATAATGAAACGTATCATTTCCTTGTAGTCAACATTATTGTTCGACGGCGATTAACGTATACTAGAGGCAAATATATAAATATATTTTCTTTTTGTATGTGGACAGATTAAGGAATGGTAATTATCGTCCAATTATCTATCGTTACTATGATAACAAAAAATCTGGAGCAAAGGCGATTCAAATTTTCACATGATTGCATCCAATTTTCTCCAATTCGTTCACAATACAATGGTCATTGTAATCAACATTATGACGAATATACATATTATATACCCAAAACTACATACGTTTTTTAATAAATTTTAAATAAATCCTTTATCCCGCCACGGGCCTAAACGTTAGCATAGTGTTGTTGGATATATTGATTATTCCATTTCGTTATTATTGTGGTACGATTATCCGGCAAAATCAAGACTATTCTATGAAAAATCTTTATGAAAAGGTATACTTGTGAAATTGCAAGTATTGTGCAATGGGAATTTACCCACATAATCTTATTTAATCACCTACACATCTCGAATAAAATTATGATTCGTGGAATGACTTCGAACTGAGCCTCTTCTTCTCGTCTGTAAATGTACAGCGGTGGTAATCTACGTGAAGTGTATTAGGAATCATGTCATTTGCATTGGAACTTCGACGCTGAAAATAGTGATTTTACTCTAGAAATTTGTAATTCCATCACTACTTAGGAGTAGATTCAATTGCAATCTGGAGTGAATTTTACTCCAAAGTGAGAACAAAAAATCACTAATATGACTCTTAAAAGAGTATAGATTCCACTCAGTTGCAGTACATGCACGTACAGTTGAACCTCTTTATGAAATACTGCTCTAATCTTTCCCCATTGCCCAT